GCCGGCAGCCACACGCCAGGTCCGGGTGCCAGTGGCCTGGCCGCTGCGGACAACCTGACTGGAAAGGGAAGGGGGGACCCTGGCCCTCCGGTCAGAGAGGACTCCCACGTTGTCCAGTGCACTGGCCACGAGCCATGTGTCCATTCAAATGTAAATTCTAATTAAGAAGAAATGACATTGAAAATCCTGGTTTCTCAGCCACACCACCATCCTTCCAGTGCCCAAAACCCCTGATGGAGGGGGCTGCCTGACCCATAGCACAGGGCGAGGCCTCCGATGTGAGATGCGCCATTGCTGGTGCTGTGGGGAGAGAACCACAGCATCAAGGTCTGCGCGAGAGCCAGACCCCAAGGAGGAAGCCACCCTGTGGGCCATGCAAAGCACCAGCAGGAACGCACGCCTGGGTGCTGCTGCTTCTAATTAATACGACACCTCCGGGCCTGTCTTCTGTTCACGCTCCACTTTGCAGATTTCTCACCAGAACTGCAGAGCCTACTCAGCAACCAGCTGCCTGCTCTTAGGCCAATGGTCTCCGGGACTCGTTCCTACTGAGGGACTGCACGCCCGGGCAGCTAAGGCAGATGGAACACATTCCCATGAGCACAGACCCAATCCACAGCCTCTGCCCTTCGCCCTCCCCAGCTTCCTTTCCAATCAATGCCACTGTGCTGCCATGATCTTACTCGCCTCCACCTTCTGATTAGGCTAACCTTAGAGAGTCCATGAGGCTGCCGACCTGAGCAGACTCCCCATCCTCACAGTAGGGAGAGCAGAAGGACCAGGGAGTGGCACTGAGTTCTTTTGTATTTTGGGGAGAAGAGTAGGTTTCTTAGTCTCCTCAATATTCTCTTTTGAGTCTCCAGGCGATCTTAAATTACCAGAAAGCTGGAAGGACTGATTTTGGTGATTTTTAAAATGTTATTTGCTGTAGAGTGCCTCTATACTTGAAATCTCTCCTAGAAAGGAATTCTAAAGGCCAGAGCTGACGCTGTAGCAAAAATGTATTCACAGCACCACTCCTGCGGAAGTCAGGCCTCAGCGCTCGCCCGCGCCTGCCCAGGCTCGGGACCGCGTGATGAACGATGATGCTGGTGGACAAATGGGAAGTAAACAGCACACACGAGCTCATTTCAACCTCCATTAGATGCACAAGGGGGAGAAAATCAATGTTTGACAAATGAAAATGACAGAATCAGTAAGGAGAGACATTTATTTTCCATTTTCTAGGAGGCCTTTGCACACAATGGACTGTTAAAACCAGGAAAAATAACCAATGAAAACACACTCAATAGGCTCTATGTAAAATACATTATCACCAACTACAAATGTAGAACAGAGATGAATTGCCTTGTTTGTTCAAAAGACATGTAATGGTTTCTTTAATTTAGGGTAGGTCGCTTTCGCCTTTGAGACTTGATTACACTTTGGAAAGAAAGATGCGCATGAGTTGAGCACCCGACCTGAGGGTCTCACTACCTTTGGTGGACAGGCAGATCATTCTTTCATCCACTCATTCATTCATTCCTTCACTCATTCATTCATGCATGCAGCAAACGTTTATCAAACACCCACAATTGCCAGGCATTTCAGGGCTGGAGGATGGAAATATTAATTCCCTGGGGCCTTGAAAGGAAACAGAAAAATAGCAAAAAAACAGCTTGAGAAATAGACAGCAGCATGCTAATGAGAGAGCAGCATGCTAATGAGAGAGCAGCATGCTAATGAGGGGCCAGCAAACGCTCCTCCCTCCTTTCCATTATGGACAGCAGTGGTGGGGCGGAAGTCACGGTGGGGCGGTGGCTAGGAACTCTCATGCCGCAGTACTTTGCATAGACCAGGGACACACTCAGTGCCTCCGGTGACAGCGTCGGGCAGGCCTGCGGGAGACACTGCCTCTGAGTCCCTGCTTATAAACTGACCCACCAGGGAGCAAAGCAACCACTCCCTGCTCAGTGCACTAAGGGCGTTACTCAAACTTCCCTTACTTCTTTGTTAAATAACAACTAGGCTAACTGTGATGAAGTAGAAGCAAACACCCGGTCAAGCTGCATCTCTGAAACTTACTAACAGCGTTACTTGAAGAAAATAAATGTACCCTTTCATTGAACACCATCCTTTTCATCCATAAAATGGGAATAAAAGGACTCCACTCACAAACCCCTGTGAAGGTCAGAGAAGACGGCGTGTGCACCTGTGCCGGGGTCTGGCGTCTAGAAGATGCACATTAAGTTGCTGACAGATCAGATGGAAGACATCCGCACACTTGCTTCTCCCTCTTGTCTCCTGGCTGTGCATGTCGCTCTCGCTCTTTCCTGATGAGAGGTCTTTGAGAGCAGGCAGTGCCCAGCCCCTCTCCTGGGAGCGCAGAGTCTGCGGGAAAAATGGTGGAGAGGTCAATGGATGGCAACCTCGGTTCCAGGACTTTCTTTCCTTGAATCATCATTCCATCTGCACTGAGTTGTTGCAGATGGCACTTATTTTTGAAACACATCTATCTGTTCAATGTGAAGCTATGGCTTTTTTACGGATTGTTTGTGAGAAGAGGTAAATAATAAGTAGCTATAATAATACCTGGGCACATTCAAAAAGAGTTTAGATGCAGTAGCATACCCTTCCCAAAGTAAGCCTCCCTGGGGAAGTGTGCTGCAGACTGCTGAGGCTGGGAAGAGAGAGAATTAAACGGCAACATTTTAAAAATAAGTGCCTGTTGTAACCGGTAAGCTGATCCTCATAAAATTAACGAAGCCACACTTAGGGCTCCAGAGGAGAGCGATTTAGAATCAATAGATGGCATTTCCATTCAGTGTACCAAGTTGTAGTCTCATTTAGACTTTTCTATGACAGGAGCATAGACAACCCTGAGAGGAAAGGCACGAATGGGCTAAACCCATTCCCCGGGGGGTGGGAGGGTAATGTACCTCAGTTCCTTAGCACTGGCAGTGAATCTGTCTGCCCCCGCTTAAGCTTCGAAGGTGCTGACGGGTTGGTCCTAAGCGTGGCCCAGGGTTCAGCGTAGCCTCTGAATGCCGACCTGTGGCTCAGTGAGCCGTTTTACAGAGTAAAAATCATTAAACAAGCATGTCTTATATTTTCGGGTGTACGTCTGTAACAGTAGGATGTGTACATGGGTAATTCTAGCCAAAGGGGGAGGGCAGGGGAAGGGAGTGACTTGAACACTCTCGGCGGCAGTGCAGGCCAGCCCGGCGGTCCATGGTAGAAGAGGCCGCTTCCATGTGTACCAGTCATCGTGCTTTGCCCGATGATTACCAGCACATGGACACGTCCTTCCTGCCTTAACTAAATGTAAGGATCCAAGTTCAATGTGAGCATTAGTTCCTTTAGGTCTGAATGTTAACAAACGCTATCCTACTCCTTTATCACTTGCCACACATTTATTGAGAGCATCTACTATGTGTTAGACATTGTGTTAGAAACTGAAGAAACAGTATTTTTAAAGTGAGAAAATCGTTTATTAAAACGGGTAAAATTAATGTGAAATATAAATATATTTCAGATGGATCCCCATGAGCTAGCCAGGCACTACAGGAGCTCTACAAAATTTCAGGTAGGTGAATTACAACCTCAAAATTATTCAAGCAACCCACTGCCATTTTACTTTTAAGTCCCACCATACATTTCTACCCCAAAACCTGCTTCTTTCACAACTGTAGCCTTGGGGACAGGTTGCACAGGTGAGGTCTGTCCGACAGGGGCGACCGCAGTGGCTCCCCAGCGGTGCGCACGTGTTTCCTCGGGGTGCAGATGTGTCGCTCCACATGTGCGTCTTTACCCACAGAACAGGAGGTTGGGGCCACACTGACTCTCTGAGGAGTGTGGCTGAGCTCTGTTCTGCCGGCATGGAGTGCTGGCGTCATTCATGTGCCGTGATGACGTACGTACGAGCCCACACAGTCACTTCTACTCCTCCTTCTTGTTCTGTATGAAAATAAGAAATAGAAGGGAAGCGAGTAGTTACGTGACACGGCATGGCCTCTGCCTTTCCTCCAATGGCAGCATAATCTTGTTTTTCACCCGCAATCATGTACAGCCACATGCTTGTTACCTCCCATCCGTTCCCCCTCACTGTGACACACAGGCGGGGATTTGGGGGTCACCCAATGTCACCCAATCTGGAGGAGTGAACTCCAACCTCCCATTTCAAGGACAGCACTTTAGTGGCCTCAAATTTTGTTTGAAAAGGAGTACAAATCTGGGTTTGGGTGCCAAATTGTCCCACGTGGTGATGTATGGTGATTAAAACACTTTTCCGTGTGTTTTTATCTCCAGCTCATTTTCTTTGTAAACAAGGCCGCCCGCTCAGACACACTCGTTAAAAAGCTGCTTCACGTGGCTGCACTCTACCGAGAGGACCGTCCCCTCTCTAAGTGCCCCAAGCTCACTCCACACTCATCACTGTCGTGACTGTGATGAGGGGAAATTTACTCGTATTTAATTGGGTTGATAACGATAAATTGTTGCGCTTCTTTAGTTCTGGTTGCTCCTGCTTTCACCTGCCCTGAGCCCTCCCTGCTCACTGGGCACGGAGTAGAGGCACCTGTGTGCTTGGTGGCTGCACTCGCAGCCTGGTAGCTTCTGAGGACAGACAAGCATCTCAGCCTGGTCACCTGGGCTTTGCAGGTGCTGTGCACAGCCCACAGTGCTGGTCAGTACCACTCAGTTCACATCATCGAGAAGTGAGTCATCACACGACTCCCCACACATGTCAACATTGACCAGGACTAGGGCCCGGCTGCTGAGAGGAGTCAGGTGGGCAGGTGGATAGTCAGCGAGTAAAAGAGCTTCATGCAGACAGATCGGATTTTTACAGGTTAAAAAACAAAAAAAAAGATGATTATGGCCCAGCTAGTGTGGTTCAGTGGTGAGCATTGACCTATGGACCAGGAGGTCAGGGTTTGATTCGTGGTCAGGGCACGTGGCTGGATTGTGGGCTCCATCCACAGTGTGGGGCATACAGGGGGCAAGTGATCAATGATTCTCTCTCATCATTAATGTTTCTCTCCCCCCCTTTCCCTTCCTCTCTGAAATCAGTAAAAGCATATTTTTTTAAAAAGATTCATATGATCTGAACCAGAAGGCACAGCAGCTGGGGCAGCGCCGCCTTTCTCACTGGGGAGATGTTAGCAGCTGCTCCTTCACCCGCAGCTGGTCCTGAGGCTCAGCCTCTGCCGGTAAAGCCCAGGGTTTGATGATACGATGCCCTTTGCAAACCAGAACTGTCAGTAACTGGTTTCTAATAACCCGTGGGGTCCACGCGAACCGGAAGTGCCTCTGCTCTTGGGGAGCACAGCCACCCTGAAATGCTGGCCCAGCTCAGCGCCTCCCCTTCCATACGGTGGCACCACAGGACGCTTTTCCCTGCCCTTAATTGTCTTAAATAAATAACTGTTTTAGTGTACCCACTTTTCAGTGTCATGTAAAAACTAATGAAAGCAAATGATTCTCTTACGTAGAGAAGTGTGTCATCGTGCGATCGGGCAGGCCCTCAAGAATGATGCTGTCATTCAGCATGGCCAGGGTGGGAGGCCAGGGCATACAAACACAGGACAGACCCAAGCTGCATGTGCCCGGTGACCGCACTGCAACGCCCTCTCCCGCCGCCACGCTGGTGGCTGGAAACCACCGGATTCCTCCTCCCGCTCCCCACCGCCCAGCGCTCGGCTCCCGGGCCCTGTGATCCCAGGTAACAGGCAGGAAGCACGGAGGCAGCCGCCTGGGCCCCACTGTCATCAGCGTGAGCACCGCACAACTGGCTGGAACAGAAACATGTCAGTGCAGGGAGTGTGCACGGCTTTCAAGTAAAATCAGGAACAGACTTGCTTTTCAGTCCCGGAGCCCCGTGTTTAAAACTGGTAAAGTGTAGTCCCGCGTCAGTAACCACGCCACCTCCACAAGACCTGCGCGGGTGCAGGCTTCCGGCGAGCTCTGAGGGCGCGGCCCCCAGGGAGGGCGACGAGGGCGAGGGGAACGGAGCACCTGCGTGGCTGCAGCATGGCCACCCTGTCTCCATGGGCTGCTGTTTCCAGCGGCACCACGTGTTTAGCTGCAGGCAGTTTTGTGTTAAGCACACAGAACGGTGATGGTGGCTGTCAGCTTCTACACACGTGGGTATAACCCACGTCCAAAAAGCACGGGGACAGGACATAACCGCACACGTGTCCTCCAACAGCTGGACGTGGCATCAGTGATCCCATTGGATGTGCTCGGCCTCTTCTTTGGCTTTAATCCAATATTCAGGATAAACAGGATATTGAAGGTGAGTTATCTCTATTGATGTTCTTATTGTAATTGTCTGGTGTTAATTATGGGAATCTTGAAGTGATTTAAAAGATCCTAAAAGTACAATGTTCTTCCTTTACCCAAACTGTCCTCCATTTTTCTGTCCTCATCACTGCTATGAATTTTAAAAACTCAGTGAAGGAAAAACATCATTGCATCCACTGCTGGGAGCTGCGCTTGCGGTTTTCATTCTGTCTCTCATAGCAGGTGTTTTATAACCGGAACAGGAATGCTTTGGTCTTCTACACACAACTGTAGTTACAAATGAGTCTCATAATTTTATTCTTTTCCATTCGTTCTTTTTGCTTAGACAGTCGCTGAATGCCTGGAGTACTGGCTGTGAAAGGAGAGAGTCCAATCAGACAAACCTCCCAGCTCTTGTACTCACCCAAAATTCTGTAATCCCAGAAAAATGCAGACATACTTTCCCATACAAAACTATTTACATAACACTGGGACGGCTCAAATGTCCATTAACGGGGAACTAGTTAAATAAATTGTGGTATATCTATATAATAGAACACACTTTGTAATGCAAAAATAAATAAAGAGGAAGTTTTCCATGAACTGGTATGAAAAGACCGCCAAGATAAATTGCTGAGTGAAAAACAAGCTAGTTACAGAACAGTGTATATAACAATGCTAACTTCTGTGAAACAGAAAGTGAAAATATGCTGTTTTTCTGAGTACATGGAAACAGCAGAAGGCTACAGAAAAATCTAGTGAAAATGTTAGCAGGCAGGCGGAGTGGGAGGTGGGGGAATGGGGATGGACTCATGAAGGAATGTACTTGCTACTGTTTGAGTGTGTAAGTGCATTACCTGTTCTAAAGATTCTAAGACATAAATATTTCATAACTCTTAGCTTCATAGAGGGTAACTAACACAAATATGGGGAGAGTCAGGGTCTGGAATTTCGTGTAAATCATTAGCCATAGCAAGAATAGCTATTTCCAAAGACAGCCTCTTAAGAGGAAGGCCAGAGGTTGTGTAGACCTCGGTGGGGCTTGCACGGATGCTGGTGCCAGAACACAGCAGCCGTGGCAGATGCGGGAGCAGATACTTGGGGCTCTGCTTCGTTAACCTGGATATTCATTACCTGCTGGTTCTTCCAAATGACTTCGTTGTAGCGGCAAGGAAATGAGAACTAGCGGGTGGAACAGTCTGTCCCCAGTGCTGTGCTGAGCGGGGGACCTGGGCTCCTCTTAGGCTTCCCGACCAGACTCCACCTCCAGACCCAGGGTCTCTCCAGTGGAGAGGGGCCGATGCCTCATGCCCAGCACCAGGCGGGCAGGCCATCCCTTTCCCTTCTCAGGTGAGAGTATCAGGAAGCTCCTGTTCAGAGGTGACCAACGTTCAGACACGCAGGCCATGTGTTTGGGAGTTCGGCTGGCAGTGCAATAAAAGTGTGTAAAGTGCCAGCGCTTCCCACCCATCCCTGTGTCCCTAAGGGATCCAAAATCCGTCCGTATTCAAAAGCTTTTTAATGTAGGACATTCTGAAAGTCAGCACCGGTCTTTTTTCTGTAGCCCCATGGTCCAGTCATTTCACATATAAGTGAGTCATTCTGATGCACAGTTCTCTGGGAAAAATATTGTTTATCTGTCTCCAGTTGAGAAACAATAAGAATATAAATTTTCACTTCAGTGATCACTTAAACTAACTTTTAAACCATGTCTTTGTGCAAACTTCTGTTAAGAGCACCATAAACAATTTACCACCAATTGAAATTATCTTAATCTGAATGTTTGAAGGATTTTTCCTACTCAGCAATTCTGGGAAAATAACCCATTTGTGTATATTTCTAGTTAAAGAGTCATTACTATTATGTCTGTTTTTTAATTCCAAATGTTCTACTATAGTCAGATATACATTGGATGAAATTTTGAACTAAATAATCTTCAAACTAAATAGCCCCTAATAGTCCCTCCTAGCTATAGGATCCTGTGATTCTCAGCAAAGTAAATAATTAAATACATTAACTGGATATGCACACAACCCCTTCAAGTGACATGTTCTTTTATTGTCCCATTTTATAGATGAGGAAACTGAGGCACAGAAATGTTAAGTGACTTTTCCAAGGTCACACGGTTAGCAAAGGGCAGAGGCGAAGTCTGACTCCTGCATTCCTCTGCCTCGGGTAGTAAAGGAGGAGGTGGACGAGGAGTATGTGTAGGGCGAGTGCGTTGAGGTAGAAGTAGATGGAAGCAGGAAAGAACCTCAAGGGAAATAGCCACTCTGTTTGGATTTGACATGTGTAAACTCACTCTCTCTTTAAACAATGTCATGAATTGCTAACTGATGCTAATATTTATTGGACTTGAAATTAAACACATTTAATGGAACTTGTTTAGGAACAGTGCTAGCCCTGAGCCTCAGGATCAGCATCTATTTATGATTTCAATGTGTATCCTCTTCCTCTTTCACTGATGTTCTAGGGCAGTCGGCAATCCTCGGCTCTCGAGCCTCATGAGGCTCTTTGGCCCCTTGAGTGTGGCTCTTCCACAAAATACCACGTGCAGTATTTTAAATATGAGGGAAGCTTTTCTCAACAGGTTTTAGGAATTCAGAAACAGCAAAGCGATGTTAGCCTTTGCTAAAAATCCTCTCAATGCTACTGTAACAGAATTAAATTTTCCTCTCTTTAATATTGACATTGGCAA